GTGTGTGTGTGTGTGTGTGTGTGTGTGTGTGTGTGTGTGTGTGTGTGGATTAGTAAAAGAGAAGGGAAAGGAACAAAACAAAATTAAATAAAACAAGAGATTAAGATCCTCTGCGCCGCGCAGGAGTACGGAAGATTGCTCTCTCAGCCAGGGGAGCAACAACCGCGACTCTTTGTCTCAGCCGGCGTTTCTGACCTCCTGAACTGATGAGAAGCAACTTCGACCTCACTAGGCGGCTAGCTCAACACAGATCACGGTAGCATGAAATACACCAACTTCTTCACAACCCCAACGATCTCAGCGACCGTTAGTGTCGGCGATTATTAAGCATACACCACGTTATAAAAATGAACAGTACTTTAAGCACACAAACAAGATAAAATAAACACAAATGACCTCTCTCTAACTCTGCCTAGACTCTATTTCGCCTTATGGTACGATGCAATCGTGGTGATTGAGGGGGGGGTTCTTCTGAGGGGTTCTTCTGAGCTTCGGTGGGCTCAGGCAGCGCGACTGCGGGCCGCTGGAGGTGTTCTCTCGGTAGGAGAGAATCGCTGTCGTCTGGGTAAGGGATTTTCGCGTCCTTATGGCCAGAGCAGACGAGGCGCTTGGAGAGTGGAGAGTGGAAGTTCTCTCACTCTTTCTGAAGAACTCTTGCTTCTTCACTTCTGCAGGAATAAAAGGGTCCGCTTCGTGGATACGAACAAAGATAAAATAGACAGTTTGGTGAATTCGGCCAGCGAATATAAACTGTTAAACCTAGGTTTTGGTTAAAAAGGGGAACAACGTTGGTGTGCTCCCTAGCTCGACGGAGGTCGAAGGGGAAAAAGCATTGAGGTTGGGGTTGCAGGGTAGTTTTGTAGAACAGTGGCTGAACCACAGGGGTCCTGGGGTATCCCTGCTCTCGTCCAATGAGATTGCAGCGGTGCTTTCAGGTAACTTCAGGAACGCATAGTTTTTGGGGGAGCAAGATCGTCTTACCGGAGGTCCCGCCTCGGCATCCCTGCTCTCGTCCAATGAGAGCAGCATGGCATTTTGGGGAGGAAACTCACACCCTAATGTGAATTTCTTCAAAGTTGGGGGGTTTGGTGCTCAAACTACAATCAGGATGAAACCTTTGCTTGCAAAAGGGAAGGCCTGACTCTCTTTGTTCCACAGCACATGTCGAAGCCATATAGTCAGATCCCAACAGATGTGAGGCTCAACCAGCTGCGCACATTTACAGGTTGATTTGGGATTTCAAAAAGGAAATTGCACGCTGGCAGGTGTAGCGGGGCCTTGGGGGGGTGGGTGAGGGGGGGGGATGAAAGGGAACCAACAATGCCACCTGGGGAATTACACCCCGGGAAATATAAACTTAACGACCCTAATATATGGTGTAGAATTTGTTAAGGGCACACAGATTCATTACCGATTATTGGACAGAGACGTGTTTCATAAAAATGAATCGAATATGTATTAAAGGAATCAATGAAAATCATCAAAGCAAATATCAGCCAAAACATGCAGAACAAAGGAAAAGCTCCAGATGTCTTGAAACTTATGACGGCCTCTGACTCCAACATCCCGGAGGTAGACCAACTAACCTTCTTGCAGGGGGACATCTCGCACACGTTGATCATAGTGCTTCTTACGCTGAGCAGCTGTAGCCTCGAGGTGCTTGGTTGCACCCTCAAAAGCACGCCGACCTTGCAGAACCACTCATTGACCAGCACCGTGGCCACTGTTCAGGCCCATTGGTCGTGTGTTGGAACTGCCTGAGTGTACTTTGAAAAGACATCAGTCATGACCAGGACATTCTCCATCCCATTCTTTGACGGCTCTAGCATAGTAAAATCAACAGCAAGTGTTTGATTTGGGTGAGAAGCTAACAAATGGCCCATGTAGGCGCAGGTTGAGTGTTTTTAGCTAGCTGACAACGTTCACACTCCAGACACCATTGCTTAATGTCATGGTGCATTCCAGGCCAGTAGCACCAATGATGGACCAAATCAGTTGTCCGTTCTATGCCTTGATGTCCATGTTCATGATGTAGCTGATACAGGACCTGGCTCTTGAGCAACATGGGTAGCACCAGCTAGAGAACCTAGTCTCCCTTGGGGCGGCAGATTCTGCTATAAAGCACCCAATCTTGTTCCACTATCTGGTCCCACTGTCTGACCAGCACAAGAGCTTTCTTGGAGGCCTGGCGTCATTCAGCTGCATCAGGGCCCTTCTTTTTGGTCCAAAACCCCAGGAATTCCTTGATGATAGGGTCTGCTTCCTGTAAAATGTGTGGCAATGGAAAACTGAGATGGTGGCCTGTGTAGCCTGATTGGTTCCAATAGCCTGCTGGAGCGATGCTGGAACTTGGATGCCAGAGGCTGCATAATCCAATGCACTGACTGGGTGCTGCTGGGAAAGGGCATCTGCATTCTTATTACTGCAACCAGGGCTATACTTGATGGTGAAATCAAAGGCGGCAAGTTGTGCAGCCCAACACTGTTCCGTGGCACCCAGCTTTGCTGTGGATAGATGACTTAGAGGGTTATTGTCCATATACACCACACATTTCTGTCCCAAGAGGTAATCTTAATTTTTCAGTCATGGCCCATTTGAGGGCCAGAAACTCCAATTTCATAGAGCTGTAGTTGCTCATGTTACGCTCTGTAGGCTTAAGACCACGGCTCGCATAAGCTATGGGTCTAACCTTACCATCCTGTTATTGTGAGAGCACAGCACCCAGTCCACTGTAGCTGGTGTCAACCTCTAAGATGAACGGTAAGGCGAAGTTAACATAGGCTAAGACTGGAGAAGCCATCAACCTACCCTTAAGGCCCTCAAAGCTCTGCTCACACTTTGTCCATGCAGCGGGTAGACTTTTTCCTGATGATTTCTGTGATTTTGAGTCAGTTCAGCAACCAGGCGATGCAGTGGTGCAGCAAGCTTGGCAAACCCCTCAAAACGGCGGTAGTATCTTGCAAATCGTAGGAATGAACGCAACTCAGACCGATGGTTAGGTCGCTGCCACTTTGAGACCGTATCTATCTTGCCAGGGTCTGTGGACACACCATCCCTGGATATGATGTGGCCCAAGTATCTCACCTCTGGTCTGAAGAAGGAGCACTTTTCCAACTTAGCTTTGAGGTCCTCCTGCTGCAATCAGCCCAGTACGGCATCCAGACGCTCCACGTGCTTTGCTACAGTGGAAGAGAAAACAACAACATCATCCAAGTACAGTAACGACTGACAGTGCTGATCTCCAAAGATCCTCTCCATTAATCTCTGGAAGGTACTTGGAGCATTGTACAACCCAAATGGCATCCGGTTCCACTCGAACAGCCCAAAGGGTGTGCAGAATGCAGTCTTCATTTTGTCTGTCCTTTTCTAGGACTGGTACTTGATGTACCCAGCAGCCAGGTCCGGAGTCGAGAACCAGCGGGCCCCTGACAAAGGGTCAAGGGACTATTCAATACGGGGCAATGGGAATGCGTCCTTGCAGATCTTGTTGTTCAAGAGCCGATAGTCCACACACAGACGAAGGCTGCCATCTACGTATCTTTACCAGCACAATGGGAGAGGCAAAAGGGCTACTACTTTCTCTGATAACCTGTGCCTCAAGTAGCTGGTGGATGCGAGTCTTTGCTGTGTCATACTCTGACAGAGGAATGCACCTATATCTCTGACGTGCAGGTACCTCATCCACTAAAGGAATTTCATGGGAAATGAGATTAGTGCAAAAGACACCACTGTACTTCTGCAGTAAGGACCTGGGGAATTACACCCCGGGAAATATAAACTTAACGACCCTAATATATGGTGTAGAATATGTTAAGGGCACACAGATTCGTTACCGATTTTTGGTGGTAGCAACCTGGCAGCCCTTACTGCCAAGCCCTGCTAGCTTATCATAAAGTCTAGAAGTAGTTGAAACCAACTTGCCTGGTTCTGTTCAAAGTTTCAAAAAATTAATGTGACATGATATTATTTTGTCCTCTAATGTTACTCTAAGAAAGATGCAAATAAACTTATTTCCCAAAAATGGTAAACTCCTCCTTTAAATGGCGTAGTCTGAATGTTTACAATGCAACTAACCTGAAAACATGTTTTTCTTCCAGCCCACCCTTTGCTGGCTCAGACCCCATAAAGATCTACACCATGGTCCTCCATGGCATTGAGAAGGTGGACTTCCCTAAAAGAATAGGGAAGCGTCCAGACGAACTCATCAGGAGACTCTGCAAGTACGGTGATTCAAAAAGCATGACCAGATATTAGGATAATACTGCTCTGTCATTTAAACATATTCAGAAGAGAGATATTCAAAATAGGAGATGTCCCAGCATTGTGGTCCAACACATGCACAGTGAAATCTGATCTGCACTTGCTGGAAGGCTTACTAGCTGGTGCATGATCATGGAGCATGAGGAGGATTGATTTTTTTGACTGAGGGCCCTGTGGACAATACATTGTGAAAGATGATTCAAATTCCTTGTATGCGCAAGCATACTTGGCTAATAAAGCTGATTCTGATATTAATGTATATCCATTCAAGCATAATCAAGAAGTTCTATCAAGAGCACTCAATCCCTTTATTTCTAGCACTGTCTGCTGGAACCTTTACTATCTCAACTCCAGTTATACTGCTGTTGGGAAAAAATCTAAATGACTAATTTGTATGCGTTTAAATTATTAAGGAATGTTATACATTTAACAAAAGATCATGTCCTCTGTAAGTGTTTAAGGCCCGTGTCCTTGTGTGAACTTTCTGGGACACCAGGCGTCTTCAGCAGCTGTTTTGTCTATAAGGTATCAGCTGTCTGCTAAGAAGAACACTTAGTTACGCAGAGCTGATTTGCAACCATGACTTCCGGATTTCGATAAAAGTGACCTTTGTACTAGAATGAATTGTTAAAGTGTCCAGATACGTTGTACGAAGGCAATTCGTGTGTGTTATCCTTTGTGACGTATATTACCCTGTGCAGCACATTGCATGTTGTTTACTCAGTATAAATATCAGAGACTCGGAGACAGATCTCCGAGCAGCCTTGAGGCATATTCTGTATGCGAATCAACTCTGTTTCCTTCTTGCAAGAATAAATGTCCTGTGATTAATGATTTTTACATCGGCTCGAGTGAATTTTTCTAACAACTGCGCATGAGTAATGCCACATAGTTCAAGACAGTGTCCTAGCCTTCATTCAATAGCCTTGGAGCAGACCAGGCAGTATCATCTTGATAGTTACTGAATGATTATGTTGCAGTCACACCGATGTGGGTCGTATTATTGACATACATTTGTCACAAATGCGCTAGCATCTCATTGTGTTTGGATGCTGCTGCGGCTGGGTTTATTAAGCCAGGTGTTAGACTAATTTAATCATGTAAGTGTGTTAAATTTCCTGGCTGTTTCTTTTTAAACATTTACAGGTTATTAATCCTGAAATTAAACAACTAAAAATGTCTTTCACTCCTAGGCTAAACCCAGTAGAGAGGCTGGGGAACAAAAAGAATGGCATCATTGAAATCAAGAAACACAAGTAAGTTTACTTCCCAAATTATATCATTCTTCATTCCTTTTGGACTTTTTTAGATACATGCTTATGAAAATCAACCACACGACTGCTGACAATTTCCTTTTGATGTAATCCTAAACTGTAATGTTAACTGTAACAACACCTGCCGCAACATAACATCGACCCAACCACACTGATTCTGACCAGCTCAAGGTTAGTCACCACAGCCCAACTACTTCTTTATAGCTTCGGTCGCCACAGCAGAGAAGTAAGAGAAGAAGGGGGGCCTAGCCCACCTAAGTAGACTGTAACTGAACTGCACAACATATTACACGGTTCATCAAGGACAGGGGTCGGCAACCTTTACTATCCAAAGAGCCATTTTGCCCTATTTTCTACCAAATAAAATTTGTCTGGAGCCGCAAAAGCTATTTGATATCACAGCTTATAAAGTTTTATATAGTTATATTATATATATAAAAACTATGGTTTGTTGTATGTATGAAAATATAGAACAAGAATAAAGACAATTCTTGACATTTTATTGCTATTTTACCTGTAATAACAATATCAAACTCTTATGAAGAGGAGAAAAAAACTTGCTCAGTTTGCTGCAGCAGTTGAGAAATTGCTCTTTTTCACTCATCTACAGCGTGATACTTATCAGCAAATGCTGTGTGCTTGTTCAGGAAGTGTATTTGCAAAGTTCTCGCCACATATCAAGCATACAGGTAAGCCAGCATTGTTGGCAGTGAAAGCAAATGAATATGTCCACGCAGAATTAAACTCTCTATTTTCCTCTGTGACTTTTCTTTTTTTTGGATTTATCCATTGATAGTTTACAGAGGACGTGGGTCTGAAAATCATGATCAGCCACCTGCAGGGAAAGGCGCCTCACAGCGACGTCAATTTAGTTGACAAACTATTAAAACATTTTATATTTTCAGTGACACAGTATCTCCTCAAACTCCAAGATAAGAGGTGTTCCCTTTGAAAGAGTGTCCACTGTGCAAAAAATATAATAAAAATAACAGTTATTTATTTCCATGTTATTTTTTGTCAAAGCCTGAGGCCATATCCACACTACTACGTTCACATTTGAAAACACATGTTTTGCTACGTTTACACTGAGCGTCCACACTACGCCGGAGTTTTCAAAGCACCGAAAACGGATACGTTTGAAAACTCCGTGGTTACCTCTTCATGTGGACGCTCGTAAACGCATACATTTAGAAACCATGACGTAGACGCCCACGTTCACTACTTGATTGGTCACGCCCCTATCACGTGACCTTTTCCCGGAAGATCACAAACAATAACAGTCTTGATTACCGATCGACTACCAGGTTAATTCAACATGGACAACTGATTACAGTTGTGAACTTGTTGTCTTTACTAGCAGCTGTTCAGTTAAAGTCTGCATTTCTGCGGAGGAAGCAGCTGTTATTGGAGCGACTAGTGAGAGGCCAGCGGCGTTATCAGACCAACGGAGCGGCCGTCTGAAGTCACGGGGTGCATCCCAAGTCTCTTATTTGTCATTTCCTCGCTCCTTGCTTGAACCGGAAGTTGTTCTGCTCCGCCATATTGACGGCTGTCCCAAAGCTCTTATTTAGGAGGAGAGAGGAGAGTTCTCCGAGGTGCCATGAGCGAGGAAACATGAGAGCAGCCTTCCAGGAAGTGTTTTAACGGCCGACACGCCCCCTCATTGTTGATCAGTTATGTGATTGGACGCTGTAGCTGATCAGACGGATCAGATTTTTCTAAATATCACTGGAGTTTCATACCAGAGTGAAGACAGATCACAGATTAAACTCTAGTTTTATATTTGATTAGTTTTCTGATTCACCATCTGGTTTAAATAAATGTTCATTGTAGTCTGAACAACAAAAGGACCACAAACAACTTTCTTCATTTATTAGAAAGATTTGTCTTTTCATGATCTGATATTTCCCTCAATAACTTTTATTATGGAAACAATTAAAGTTAGAGGGAGCTGGAGAGATGAAACACTTTACATCATTTATCATCATTTCATTCAGTCACGTGAGGCTGATCATGTCGGGTTTGATGAGTTTTATCATTTAAGTTTATTCTGAAACATGGAGCCTAATAAATTAATTCCAGTGTTCAAGAGAAACCATAATCATATTCTGGGTTAATTAATAATGACTTCACAAACAGAATTTCAAAACGTACAGGCGCAAATAATTCATAAATAAGACGAACGCATTCCGTCGGTAGAAATCGGTCCTGCACTTCTAAACAGAACACAGTTTGTTAAAGAGGTAACAGGCTACAGAGACAACACACCTCTACGCTGACAGTGATGATTATTGTCTTTATTAGTTATTAGCATGATAAGTTACTATTATTGAGTATAGTGATGATTACTGTGTGTCTTTATTAGTTATTAGTTACTGTTATTAAGTACAGTGATCATGTGAACAGACACAAAACTTCTCAAAAGTCTCTCCAGCTGTTCAAGCCGACTGACAGCTGATCCAGCTGTGATCAGAGCCGCCGTCATCAGAAACAGACGTCACTTCACGTGACGCTTCCGAGGAAAGGGAGTCTCATATCTCTTAAAACATATTTCCTCGTTTCCTCTCCTCGCATGGTTTCCTTGCGTCTCTCCATGCATCCTTGGTGGGAGGGACTAAGACCCAAGGAAAAGACGCAAGTGAGGGAAACGGGGATGCAATTAAGAAACTTGGGATGCACCCATGGTTAGCGGCTTTGAGCAACCAATCTACTTCCTGTTTGAATCGGCACCCACCCGCATGCCCAGTCTACGTAGTCACGTGATATTCGTTTTTAGGCATTTTAGTCTGGACGGAGATCATCTCGAAAACGATGTTGAAACACCGTGTGGACGGAGATCGTATTATTGTGGATGTAGACTCAGGAAGCTGCAACAAAGGGGCTGAAGAGCCGCATGCGGCTCCGGAGCCGCAGGTTGCCGACCCCTGATCAAGGAGAACGGGAACATGTAGGACAGGTGTCACTAATAGGCAGAGTCCGAGTCTGGACCTATAACCGATTTTTTTCACGATGTGCTTCTATTTTAACCAACGCAGCCTTTCTAGCCTTTAAGGCACTCGTTCAGCAGTTCAGGAAGCACACCAACCAATTATATACATTGTAAATCATCTCACATGATGCTACTCGGGCAATCAGATATGTGTATTCCGATTAGAATCGCCCTCGACTGGAGTGCGATATTCACACACCTTGGAGAGACGGGGAGAGAGACCCAACAGTCAGAAAAGGACGTGACTCAGAAGTTATTTTACATGGCGTTCCCCAGAAAGAGAAGAGTGGACAGCTTAACCAGAGCCTTTAACCAAGAACTCACATGGACACTTCAAATGTTCAGAGGCCGTGGAAAGTATTAAAAGCGGCAATATCAAGCGCCACTACGAGACAAAGCACAGATCTTTTGAGCAAACGTACCCACTCACATCTGAAATGAAGTCACAGATAATAAACCAAAGAGTCCAATATGATCAGAATCCTAACACATGAATTCACTGTCCAACGATGATGTTAACAGAGAGAATAGAGCTGAAACCTGTGGTTCCAATAACCACAGATATAACTTCCCACCTGAATGAACTAAATTTAAAGCTGCAGGACATTTCAGTTAAATTCATTTTTCTAAAATTAAGTACTTTATTTTAAGAGTCACATTTTTCAAAAGCTTTCCGTTATGTATTTTCTTACTAAATGCAGCCCTTATTTTACTTGAAACGAAAGAACATTTATTTATTATTAGAGAATGTATTATTCATAATTAATCCAGTTCAATTTGAAATCTGACAATACATATTGTTGAGATATTGTCAGTTGTTGACTACATACAGACGTTAATACAACTGTTGGCTACGTCAATATATATGGGACTAAATCATAGCGCAGTTTACACATTATTATGATGTTCCGGACCTTTGCATGTGGAAATTCTCTCTAACTGGACCTCACTGAATTTTAATTGAATAGCCCTGATGTAGGTGGGGGGAGGAGAAGACCACGCCGCCACTGTTCATATGTCCTCAACACTCATCCGCCTGCCTGATCATAAACAGCTGTTCTCTGATGGGGATCGTGCATTCAACATAACATGCCAAGGCACAAACTTTGCCTCTTTGACCTTCACATGGGGAGGAAGACAAAAGCATCCCGCTGTAAAACCCTCAACCTGAAAGAACTTCTTAAGTTTTTGGGAACAAAGGAGGGATTTGGGCTGAGGGTAACCCCGCTACGGTCACCATGGAGCAGCAAGCAACTGGGGTGCACCAACAAGGCGGGTAGTTAACACACTCTCTTAGCTAAGATCAATGCAAATAGCAGAGCTGTCTTGAATGACAACACCTTCAGAAAGCAGTGCTCCAGAGGCTCAAAGGGACTCTTCACCAAGACCTTGAGTACCAATCTCATCACCAGGCATTGCCACAACTTTGCATTGACCACTTGACCATTTGACCACTTTGCCTTGTAAGAGGCAAGGGATTCCACCATTGCCGCCTGGATGATCTACACAATCTGTACAGACAAACCAGCCCTTCTCAGCCTGTCCCTCTCAGTAGCCATGCCTGGTTAGGATGGCCTAGAGTGGGCAGCGCACCTATCGCACCTGCCTCCTGAGACAGAACCCCCAGGGTTGGGCTGCCATCATCTGAGTCATTTCTGCATACCACGGCACCAAGTGGCAACCTGGAGCTATCAGAATGATTGCTCCTGTCTCACTCTCTACAGTATGAGATGGACGAGGCAAATTGTTGAAAGGCGTAAAGCAGCTTTCTTGGGCACGTAGGCAAGTCCCCACGGGTTGTCCTGCTTCGCCAGGGAGAACCATTGTGAGCAGTATGTGTTGCGTCTGTTGACAAACAGGTGCTCTGAGGCACACAACTACAGGCTCTCTGCCATACTCAACAGGGCAGTGGACCGATCTCCACTGCGTGTTGACATAGGCCACCATTGTGTGGTTGTAGGTTGTAGGTCCTCACCACCACCACCATGCTTCCCACGTATCAGGGATTTGAAGTCCTGGAGGACAAAGAGCACTGCCTGTAATTGGAGGAAGTTAATGTGTCAAGTCCCTCCCCAACCTGTCAATTTTGCATCTGTGAACACTGTGACGTACAAGGTCACTCGTCCCAGCAACGTTCCCTTCAATTGGTGTTGTTCTCTACAAAAGGTAACCAAGCGCCGTTTCTGCTTCTTGGCAACCAAGCTAAGGCTGGCAAACCATATCTGCAGGCGTCACATGTGCAGCAACCCCAGAGGCACCATTGAATGGTCAGCCACCATGAATGCCAACGCCTGCATGATGGTCAACACGGTCACTGTCGCCGTAGTTTGCCAATTGCCTACATAAGGGCTGTGCACACAGGGCAAAATGGGAGTTGTAATTTCAAATGAAGTTCAACTTTGAGGTTTTCTTTGTTTCGTTTGTTTTATAGGTGGTTCCAGGGCTTCAACTGGGAAGGTTTGAGGCGTCACAAGCTGCTATCTCCATTGAGGAGAGAGGTGAAACTAGGACCTTGCACATGTGTTTGCAACAAGTCCCACAACAAATCTGTAGAAACATTTCACTTCAATAGAAAAATGTGATCACCTTTATTATTATCTCTGTTATGGAGAATACGGGCATGCTGATTATGACACTGTTTGTGACAAAATGTAATAGAAACCTTGAGAGGGATGGATGAATGTGATGATTCTAATTAGACAAACCTGTCCAAATCTATGTGTATATGTGAGGTGAAGGGTGTGAATATCCCCTTATTCAGGTCAGCCAGGTCTTTGTTTGCATCAGCTGGTCTAGCTGTTGATGAATCAGATCAGAGATTCTATCTTTTAAGCATTGGTAGAAGAATTCAGATCCTTTACTGCAGTAAAAATACTTTGCAAGTAATGCATTCAAAACTTTACTTAAGTTAAAGTATGAAATCAGCTAGATGTAGTTAAAGTAAAAGTATTGATTGTGCAGTAAATTGTTCCCTGTCAGTGTTTTACACTGGACCACTCAACTCTCCTCCGAATGAGTCGGAGATCGCTTCGGGTGCTAACCACAAAAAAAATACCCGGAAATGTAACTATATAGGGGAACAGATCATAAATAAGTTCAGATAAATGAAAAAGTTTGTTAGGAATATCTTGTTGTTCATACATGCAATTGACACAGATTTTCAACATAAGGGACAAATCAGAAAATAAATAAACTGTAGAGTGGTAGATATACACGAGTTTAATCCGTCTCCACTCCAGTATAGAAAACATATTTATTTTCATACACTCCTTTTATTTTAAAATCATTTATCATCATTTTTAATTAGTTACTTGGTTATTTGTTTGCCAAATTCTAAATATTATGAACTTTGGTTGAAATTGAGGTTGCCACATTAACATGACGTGCACTCACTGAAAAGAGGGAACTCAGCTCTGACTGCCAGTAAGAAAGTTGTGCATGATCCCATGCTGAAAAAATGTGATGATTTCATTATGATTTGCCTTGTTTCTGCAGCTGAAGGGGCCAATGGATCACAGTCACTTTGACATGTTTCCTCCAGACACAGAGGAGCCTCCTGATGAGCTGTCTGGCTGGGATAAAGACTTCTGAAGACTCCGATTCTATAGAATCGAAGCACCAGCAGTGGACCTGGCTCATGAGGGTTAGCAAGTACAATGTTTTCCAGAGAATTTAGTTGAAGCCCATTCCCTCACCTCAGCCCTGAGCAACATGAAATGACTTTGTGACAGATAAGTTCCTGCTAAACTACAGGTTTTAACAGGCGTCTCATCTCCTGAGCGAGGAAGTACTTCCTCCAGTTTTCACAGTATTTTACAGACGAATGCGTTTCAGATTTATGCCATGAAAAGGCTATGGTGGCACCAAATATGTCACTTCTTTTTGGTCGGCAGTTAATGGCACAAGTCAAGCACATTGAACCCAATCATATTTTTCCGTTTTGCTCTGCTGTGCATATCGTGATCACTTATTTTTGTAATATTGTTTCATATTTCTAATGTATTCTTGCACTGTTTGGCTGTGAGTTGTATCACTGATAAATCTTCTGGTCAACCTTTAGGTTACAACCTCTAACTCCAGCTCCCTCTCAATGACCTTTTTTCTTCCCCAAATACTAATAATGGGCCATGCTGGTTTCTTCGTCAAGCTTTCACCACTTTTTTGTATGTTTCCAAGTATTGGTTGTCCTATATTGGTTAAGAATAGTCCTAAATGTGACCACACAATACTGTATCGCTGTAAGGTGAAGGGAAAATGTATTACAGTCATATCATAGATCAAGCTACAAAAATCGAAAGTATGAATAGATATAAATTACATCAAGTTGGGAATCTTCCGCTTGCCACCCATAGGGCATTCTTACTGGTTTAAATAAATGCAGATTGGATGACAGGAAAGCCAATAAATCACTAATCAAATTCCTCTGAAATATTTGGATTATAGAATGTGGCGCCCCAGAGGGATGACATATCACAATTAAAATGATCTTCCTGCTTGAACTAACTTAAGTAACACTTTGTGCATTTACTGTGTCATTTCGTTGATGGATTTAAGTGCCAATAAAATAAAGAATTCCAGATTAACTTGGGGTGTGACAGGAGTTCAGATCACTGCAGCATAATAGGACTGGTAAAGTCATATTGTATGAAAAGTTTTAAAAAAAGGATGAGTATGAGTACACATATATAGCGCTGGTAACTGGTAGCACACATTTACAGTAAAATTCCATTGTGTCAATCAAGTACTAACAAAATATTTACAAGTTCTTACTTGTACTTTAATGAACGTGTAGTGGAAGAAAGCGATACTGTGTGGAGTAACAACAGGGTATTTTGGATAGATCTAGATTGATCAAGCATAGTTCAATTATAAGGGCTGTTACACAAAGTGTGACCAAACAACACATTCTCACTCCCAACTTGTCAGATATGTCAGCTTGGTGAGTGGACTGTACTCTTCAAACTATGACGCTCCAGTTAAGTTTAGTCAACAGAACCATTTAGATAGGTTTAGGAAAATCATTGTGAACTACGTCAACTAAGTAAAACTACGTAAAATCCGTCATAATTTTAAAAAAACACCAACACTTTGGGACTTTGGTCTCAAACCCCAGTGTCCTGGTTACTAGTCCTGTTTTTGTTTGACCCATTGACCTGCCCACTATAAACAGCCTCGATCACATCTTCACTTGTTGAGAGCGTATCACAGTTACGCTGATGCATTTACACTGCAGTCAGCCCTGATTACATTGTGTACAAATGACAAAAAAAGCCAGAAAGGCGCACTTACTGCACACAAAATTAATTGATGTGTCATTCATAAGCCATTTGGTGAGAGCGGACTGATCAGTTGAATCAGTTTCAGTTCAAAATAAGACAGTATACAACTGCTTTCTCTGGTAGTGTAGTACGCTTCTTGTCTACTACACTGATGTTGCATAAAATGTGTGTGGTGTGTTTTTGTTTGAGCACTCAAAAAGACAATCCTGATCTTTCCTGCCATATGTATCACATGTCTTTACACTCCTTGTCTTTAAATGTGTGGCCATCCTGCAGATGTAACTCCATCCTCCTGGCAACAGTAGTGACTAGCATCAACACAAAGTAGTATAATACTTTAAAGATTTCATCTTTCTTTGGGACACAGTGCGAGTGACAGGCAGACATTCAGTCTACAGTAGCTTTTAATAATGTGTGTTCATTGACTTTAGTCAACATTCAAACATAATCACTCTCTGCTTGTGATCTGTACAGTTATGTGATTTATTATGTTAAACGTTTTATTTGATAAATTACTAATATAAAACATATATGCAACACATAACATATACTGTATGTAGTCTCTTGCTGCTGCACCTTGGATCATTCTTTTTTGTCCACTTTTCCGTGTGTCTCTCAAGTCTCTTAACATCATGGAGGTGAAACATTAAGAATGCCACACCAGCGACTCAATTTTCCATGTCACTGCGGCCACTACACAGGACGGGGGAAGGATGGTGTCTGTGACAGACGGAGCCTCATAGAGGACTCATCGGGGAATAGGGAACACACAGAGTTACGGCCGTGACTATGACACTTGGCCAATGGGTACTAAGAGTAGCATTTAACATCTCTTCTAGTGCATCCTGAGTGGACGACGTATGACGTCATCATGACATCTCGTGTGACAGCTTAACTCAATGAAACATTACGAGCTCTGGACAAGAGATTGAATGATGGAGTTAACAGCTAATCATTTATTAGAACTTGAGTTAATAATTAAGTAATGGATGATTACTAAAAATGCCTTCAACTCCATATGCCTAACAGTAACTTAAAATGAACTGTCCAAAAACACGTCCATCTTTGTTTTGCAACTTTTATTAACAAATCCCATGGTTAAGCACAGGGGCGTCGTTAGGCCTATTTTAGGGGAGCTGAAGCCTCCCTAAAATGTCCTAACTATTATATTTCCTATCTATTATATCTATTCATTTCCTGAGAACACCCATTGTTGTTACGATAGGATTTTGATTGAACTATATTACGAACTGGAAGGATGCCCGCTCAGCTCTGCCTCGGTCCGCGAAATGCAACTGGACTTTCACCGATCGCCACCGGACCCCTTCTCTTAATTACCAAACAGATCAGCTGTCCTCGAAAGATGTTCCTTTGAAATCTGTGTGCAACAAACTCTCCCCTCGTTTTATTGGGCCGTACGAGATTCTGAGCATCATCAACACATCTATTGTCAAATGGAAGTTACCCGACGCCATGAAGATCCACCCCACCTTACGTGTCCCAGATAAAGCCCTGTTCTGTTAGCTCTCTGCGCCCTCCAGCCGATCCCCCCCTCCCGTCTGGATCATCGATGACCATCCAGCCTTTACGGTTCGGTGGTTGCCGGACGTATGCTGCCGGGGCCGTGGGTTCCAATACCTGGTCGACTGGAAGGGATATGGCACAGTGGAGCAGAGTCTCTGGCTAGCTCATCCTGGATGATTCCCTCATCCGGGATTCCCTTCCCTTCAGCTTCGCTCTCCGCCATTCCCCACAACCATCCTCATTTCCCTCTCCTTCCCCTTTTTGCAGTAAATTCCCTTTCATTTCACTGGTGCGTCTGAGTCTGCTTTAGGGGCCAACACACTGCTGAAATGTAACACAAGGTGGACCATGAATTTTGTCAAACTGTTCACAAGCTCAAGTATATACTTTCACGTTCAATATTAACTTGACGTATCACTGCTTAGCATGTCTCAGCTAATATGGTAGGCATGGTGACTGTTATAGCAAATCAATGCTTGTAACACAATGCACTTTTTGCCTTTTGCCTGCTCACCATGTTATGTGCTGTGGTGGGTGTAATAACCCAGTTGGTGAACACATTTCAATGCAACTCACTCACATTTGCTTTTCAATTTCTGTGGAGGTGGATTCTAAAAAACAATTAGCTCATTGTTTTAAAGGTTCAAGTGTTCAGCTTTATTGTCATTGTGCAATACAGGAGATAGCACAGTGAAATGCAGTTGTAGTCCCCTCCATGCTGCACACACACAACATATGTATTAACACATATTCAAATATTATATATAAACAAGAATACAATCAAACAAAAAAGGCAATAATAGAGTAAGTTACAGTAGGACAGCTCCAACCTCCAGCAGCAATTTCCTCAAGTAGATCAATGTCTGTCAGCAGTGTTTCTTTGGTTGTGCTTACTCGCTGTGACCACTTGAGGCCAGTCAAGACTGATGATCATTTCTGTAAGCAGCAATTTAACAACATGATCAGCATTCATGTAACACTTGGTATTCATAAGGCTATCAGAACTGAGTCACGAAAACGGACTTCTACACTATTATGTATGAATTGTCAGAAGAAGCACAAGTATAACCAATATTGTCTCTGTTCCATTCAGGTGAGTCAGTGAATTATAAAGGTAGCAGGCACAACTGTGGGGCCCTGGAAGTGAAACCTTGACAAATATCAGGTTTCATTTTTGGTCACAGTTGGTCACGGTCCTCTGGTTTTTGTTATAGTTTTATTCTTGTTTTAGTTTGAAAGTCCTCTCCTCTTGTGTCTTGTCTTGTACTACTTCCTGCCTTTGTTTGATTTCCCGCCTGTGTGATTGTCTGCCCAAAAGTTTCACCTGTCCCTTGTTATCGCCCTCCTCTCCTTGTGTATTTATTGTCGTTGTGCTCCCATTGTCTTTTCTCACTTTGTCTTTGTTGTCACATGGAGTTGTGTTCACCTGTAACCTGCCTGCTGTTCCTGCCCACTTTTTAGACTCTGATGTTGTTAGGTTTTTGCTTGTAGCATTTTATTTCTATCTGCTTATCGGAGTCTTCATTTGTGTCCTCCCTGTCTCTGCTGCTCCCTGCACTACAACACAGTTATTTGTTCTCTATTGATCCTGAAGCAAATAGTCTTTTATTGATTTGATACACAGTATTGCCTGTGTGAGGGACCAGGGTACGCATAAAGCTGGGAGAGCAGGTAAAGTGGGAAAAATAGGGATTTTATTCACCCAAAATATGTACAATAATAAGGATGGGTGACAAAATCAAGCAAAACTGCCAAACTAGAAGAACTGTATAAACTTAACATATTTAAACAGGACTCAGGTTAAACAACATAGTGAGTGCTCTTCTGATCAAGGGACACTTCACCATTTCCTAACTGCAGAATATATACAAGGCTGCCCAGTCCATAGTCAATCACAGGGGTGTGAAGACACTCCTCCGCTGTGGCGCAGATGCAAAGGTTCCTGACAACACCCCTCTTGCATCTGCAGAATGGCACAGACCAATTATCCAGGCTGCTCTACTTAGAGAGGTGTGACGTAGCTGTTCAGTCTTTTGCCAGGATGGTCGGCTGCAACACACTGACACGAAAGTTAACACAACTCAATATTATAGCAAGTGTCTTCATAATGATGATTTGGCTAGTTTGCAGCCGCCACACCTGGCTACAAATTCATTTAGACATCAGGATGTAAGTAGTTTTCTAAAACCAAGTTAAGTGTATAAGTATGGGTAAAAATGGATATGGGTGCATACAAGTTATATCAATAAAAGACTCATAATCTTTACAGTTCAAAGGTTGCAGTTCATGCAAATGAGCATAGTTTGTTTGATATGTACATGATTTAGCATGTGTGTTCTCCCTAACAACCTAACTTGTGTAGTAGTATTATGTCAATCTTTGTTTTGTCTTTGTTAAAACTGCCCCGCCCATAGTACTACTACACCCAGCTGTTTCACATACTATATAGCTACATGAGACAGGTGTTACACCTGTATATCTAAAGACAACACCAGCCTCTTCATTCGATGAATACATCTGGCTGATTGGAAAGCTGAGGTTTGACAGAGACTGTGTGGTTACTCTATGGTCAATTATCTTAAGGAACATTATTGAACTCACTGCCTTCAATGCGTTTGTGACAGCATTATTGTATGGCCTGTAGGACCTTGGCTATTGATCCTTTATTTCGGTCAGCCGCTCTTTTCTTTGTATCTTTCCAGATGTTTCAATTCCATGCTAAACTTTTTAAACTTATTATATTATCGCTCCACATGCCTCATGAATAAAATCAATTCTGTAAACAAAATCATATCACACATGAGTAAATTCTTTTGATTTAATTTTAAATGAAAAATACATTTAAATATGAATGCAATATGCATACTGCAACATACAATACATATACAGTTGTCTGATGTCATGCAGATAAACATCAGATATAATTTATAAAAAACATGTCTTACAAAATTCAACTTGTATCCCCTCTTTTACTTATTACAGTTTACAGTAAAGACTGTTTTTCCTTTTTAGAGTACAATAGCATGCACTAATAAAGGATCCCTCATATCATCATAACCAAACAATATTGCTGAAGCATTACCACATATAATGTTGGAGTTGGAATGCTCTGCCACGGTGTTTGAAGCTCTTTCTTCTAATCAACAAACCAGCTGCTACGTATTTGTTACTTGACTAAGTTTGCCATCAAAAGATATTTTCTCAGGTTACTCTGTAGAGCAAAAAAATCATTGTTTTTTTATTTCTTTGTATTTTGTTCTCCATCTGTTGTCCTAGGCAAGGATGAAGGTGTGATATAGTGATATTGCAATCTTCCAAGAGTTTTTTTCATAGCAAAAATAGTAAGTGTCTTTTGCTCTGTTTACCAAAGATGTATGTATAGATGTACTGTCTTCATCGCCAACTACATATACAAAATGGTTTGGTTTTAAAGGCATGTTCAGACTGAATCTAAGGCACATTTTTGAGGTAGCTTGACTGCATATCAAGTCAATGCAAAAACACAAGTACATGCCAAAGGTTACAAATTTCCTCGGCGCGGCAAGAATTGAGGGAAAGATTTGATTGCGTGAACTGAAATGTTTTAACTTTGAGCTTATCCTGAATGATCCTGACTTCAGTTATTGACCATTCAGACACAAAGGCAAAAGCAGTCAGAAGGAGTACAGCTGGAACAACCACAGTTCATGATAGGCTTTGAGAACAATCGATTTGTACATTGCTAGCTAGCAACAGCTAATGTCTGTACACTGGCAAAGAAACACGGACTGCTAAAACAGTCCAGTCTGAAGGCACCTTAATAATACTACTGAAAGTCAAAACTACGACAGTTCAGGTCAGCTGCTGGTGTTTCACACAGTTTTATATTTGTGACATTCCAGTGAGTAAACACTATGTGGAGAAAATATGATTTACAAGTTATTTCCTTGGTTAAAAGACCTTTTCTTCCAATCAGATATATTGAAGGGTTCAATTCTCCTAAGTGTATTTTAAAGCGTTCTCCATAGACATCATCTCTGCATGCACTCTGGTTATGCAACATCATACATAAATCAGTCATTTGTCTAAAACATTATATGACAGTTATGAAATGTTTCACATTAGTTGGATTGCTACATATTTTGCAGCATCCTAATGTAAACCTATAGAAGTGTAAGGAATATCACCAGAGCATGTATAATTCATTCAATTATGTCACAGTGTAGGTTATTTTACACATATAGTAGACCATGGTCTTATTCATGATATCACCTATACCTTTCATGTACACTGCAATATACAGTTAGAGTTTCACATAAACACTCATTATGCCGAGGAAGATAACTCTGGAACTTTTAGAACATGAAAATGTAAATGAGGGCTTTTTTAGTGTTTGTACTGGGAAGTTGACTTACCAGAAGACATCATCCTGTGATTTACAGATTCAACAACAACAGAGACTCATTGGGTTTTCAGTCCAGAATGGCAGCAGTGCTCCAGCAGCACCATGTAGTGGTGGTTTACAAAAAAGCACCAGAGTTACGTCTCTTAGCTTCTATAGTCTTTGTTTCACCTGGACCATATCCTCCTGTTTTCCCAGTTCAACAGCTTTTGAAGAAATAGAAATAAATTACTTGAGCATTGGTTGATTATGCATGCTGGTTATTCTCCCAGATCTGATGCTAGACCTTTAAGTACGGTACTCACAGTCTGCACTTCGTGAATGTTTATTGTAGCCAAGGGAAGTCCAGTTTGCTCTGGTGGCCCAAGGCTATCATGGAGTTCCTGTTTCTGCAAGTAGGTTCTACTGGTTCCAGATCAGGCCTGTAAAGAAGAGGAGACAGTTATTATTGTGAGCTACTGGTTTTTTACAGTGTTTCTGGTGGACATCAGGGATACTCCTTCGGTTTGCATCACAGCAGCTCAGCCTGGGAGTGTGAGAAAACATATATTGTCCATTATTGCCACATAGTCAGAAGCGCTGTAGTTGGCCGGCGTGTATGTCTCAGCAGGAGGGTGGTGTTCTTTCTAATGAATCCTGGACTGTGGCCACATCTCACCATGACTGAGCTTAAATCCACGGGGTAATTCTCCCACTCCTACAGGCATACCTCCGGCCTGACTCTCCAACCCCCTCATCTGTCCGCTGGGTCCATGCCAAGCCCCGGTCAGAACAGAGGGAGAGGTTGAAGGGCCAGCAGCCCTCCACCTCCCAACAGATTCCTACACTGCTCAACCTCTCAAATAAAGAAAAGCCACAGTTCATCCACTCTCAGGCAAAAATAATAGCTCCCTGTATCTCTAAGTGCCAGGAACCTGTCACACTCTTCTTGTTGCTCAACAGTCATTGAAGCTGTCACCACTTTTCCACCCCAAAAAATGCCTTTCTTTCCCTCCATGCTGGCTTTTTTTCACTGCAGTCAAATTACCGTCATTCCTTCTCTTGTTTTTTGGTTTTCTTCAAGAAACAAAGGGAACAGGGACAGCTCATTTTCAGGGGTTTTGCCCCGGTGCCATTTCAATCCAAAATGATTAGACATCAGCACAAAACCGAACACTGAAGTTAAGCGCTTGTCAGGGAAATATCTGGAAACGGATTTAAGATTTTTTAGTGTTCCATACCTCTGACAAATCTAAAGGAAAGGAAAACACGATGAAATGTTTATAGTTTTCATGTCTTTCACCATAAAATTATTCAAATATGAAAATCTGTGTGTGAGGTATGGACATTTTAACATCAATCTGACATTGTGTCAGAGTGATGTTTTTTTGTAAAAGTCTTCATGGAGAAGGAATGAAAACTGCAGTTCGGCTGAGTTTTAAATCTATCATTAATATTTCTCTTTTTTCTGTTTATAGTAATTCTAAATAAGCCTCCAAACCTCTGAACCCAAAAAACCCACGGGCAGGATAGAAAAGCATGTTTTCTTTAAACAATTGCCAAAAACTCCACCGTTTATCATAGCCAGATGCAGTAAAAAAACATCATTATTGTCGGATTTTCATCTTTACGATGGTCCTTAAAAACACCATGTGTGACAAACGTTTCCATCAAAAAAAGCAACCAAAACTAAGCTTAAAATTGTAATATTTCTTTAAAAACATTTTATTCTACATGTCTCATTTAAATGTACCCCAAATAAACAGTTTACTCTAATCACATCCTGTAAACAAACATTAAATCCTGCGCTCCTCAGTGCAAATAAGAAGCTACGATTGACTCGACTGATACCAACAGTCTTGTGAAAAGCATTCCAGGAAACTTCGACTGAACTGCAGGCTGTTGACCACAGCAGAGAGGAGAGGACAGGAGAGGTTGTTAGTTGAGGTTGTACAAATGTGAACAGCTCAATATACAGTATATAGCACGTGGAGCCTCCATTATTTTTCAAATATTGGTAACACTTGTGGCAACTTGGAAACACGTTGTGTATATAGATTCCGTTGTTTGCCAATCTTTGTAAAATAAATTATCAAAGAAATTATTAGTATAGTTCTTTTTTTGTTTCAATATAGATGCAGGACTTGAAATTGAAGCAAAAATGTGACAAGTGCGAAAAAGACCCCCGAAACTGCTTGGGGTTCAGAGTGTTAAAGTACAGATCATGTGATCCAGAATAACCATAAGCATCTCTGTCAGTGAGGTGTCTCCTTGGTCAAGACTCAAATTCAACAAAGAATGAGAGTGGAATTTGAGGGCAACCGGAGACGACTCTCGGAAGAGTACAAAGTGTGGTGTTGCATCTTCACTCTGTACGAAAGGGTGATGTAGCCACTGAAGATGTGCTTAATACCCTCAGCAGCAGCCAGCAGGATGGACTGAATTGTTAACTCATACATCCGAAAATGCTTGTCTAACACTCAGCTGGAGTGAGTTCGCCTCTGTGACTCACCAGCTGCTGACCCAATCCATTACCCTACAAGCAGGGAAAGGCAAGATCCTGGAGTTAAGGGGGTCCCCAACTCCCAAGTGAGATGTGCAGATGTCCCCGTCTGAACGGGCCATATGGCAGGCGCTCAGGGGCAGCTGTGTCCACTAATCAGAAGGTCGGTGGTTTGATACTGATCCCCAAAGTGCTCCCAATGGCTGTGTGTGAATGTGTCATTATAGTGATGCCAGAGGCTTCTGTCCAAGCAGTAAGATAAATGAGTAGTGATGAGATCATGTTGCACGTTGTATGTACAGGTGAACACTTGCTTGTGTGATGAGCATTGAGGGGCCGGATAACTAGAAAAGTGGCATTCAAATGTAGTCCCATTACCATTAAATGGAGATCAACAAGGCTTTTAGCAGGCTACAACATCAGGAGATCGCCGGCAATGTGGTCAAGCAGGGTTTGGGTTACGGCTCTCGGGTTGGGAGAGTCTCCAAAAAGAGCCACCAAAATAGAAAACTGGTTTTGGCGGCGGTGACAAGGACAGAGCACGAGCGATACAACATCAAAGCAGTGTCACATGATAAAAGGGAGGCTTGGCGACATAGGAGGGCACTGGGTCAGTTCGCTTGGCCAACCTGTGGAAGATCCTGCAAGTCAGGCTCAGCTGCCTTCTCAGGGCAAACTATGACACCCTTCCCTGCCCCTGAGACCTCCATCAGTGGTTCAGTAATAAAGCGGTGGCCCCCTCTGTGATACCACTAACGCTAATTTCCAACAATTTCTGTCAATGTGCATTGTCCCTGAGGCACTGCAGATGGTGGGATGACCAGCTCCTGAGGAAGCTAGCTGAAGTACTGCAGACGGGTCAAGAACAACAACCGTCCCACCTTGAACACTCCAACACCTCACTATTGGAGGTGGGACAGGCAGAAATGTTCAGCAGGTAGTAAAACCCACCCGTTCAGTCCAATTAGCGCAGTTTTGATTGACAAAAATATAATTTACAAAAATTACAAAAGTCCAGGACTTTCAGTCAGTGTTCCAGTTCATCCCAAAGGTGTGTGATGGGATTTAGGTCAGGGCTCTGTGCAGACCAGTCAAGAACTTCCACACAAAACTGGGAAAACAATTTCTCTATGGACCTGGCTTTGTGCCTTCCCTCAGCCATTGGCACAACGTTGGAAGAACGGGGTTGTATAAAACATAATTGAAAGCTGCAGTATTAAGACTTTCCTGCATTGGATGCAATGTGGCCGAGACCAAAGCAGAAAAAAACAGTTGCCTATGAAAATGAAAGTATGTGGAGAGGGGTCATGGGTTGTGTTTTTACTTTGCGTTGATGTAGTATTGTGGTCCATATACAGTTTACAGAGAATACACAGCACAAAGTGTAGTCTTAGTGTATTCCTCACGTGTAGAGTTGTGGGCAGGACATCTTAAGTGAGGCGGAAGTCAGTCCCAGCCTGCTTTGGTTCCTCATCTTAGTTTTCCTCACCAGGTCTTTGACTCTGCCCCATGTGTAGTTTTCACTCAGCTGAACACAAAGACAATTTAATACAAGTTGACTTTCAGCTGTGACAAGTGACTTCTCGACCAAAGTTCTAGAGCCCTACCAGCAGCCCCCACATGCCTCAATGTTTGTTAAGATGTGTTCAGACAGAAAGTGAGGGTCATTCGTGCAAAGTCGACCATTTGTCTGTTTGTTTTGTCCCAAAGTGCATCCATCGCTAGCTAGCTTACAGCTAATGTACATTTGGCTGTATCTGTTGGAGTGTGTCTGTGTGTGTTTCTGTGTCAGCTCATCAGAAACTTAAGTTCTCTCTTTTCTTTTGTTCCAGTCTCTCTGTTTTTGTCCTCTTGTCTTTGTACATTTGTGCAGCTTATTCGTAAAACCTCGAGACAACTTTTTCATTCCATTTTCAACTAATGCAGACCGATTGGCCTCATATGTCTTTACATGGAAAGGTCCTTTGTTAAAATATACCAAGACAATGCAGAATGTGATTCTTGCAGTGGGCCTATAGCATGAATACATGACTTACCCTGCGCTGGGGAATGGAGAGGTATTCGGTGCTGTCCCCGAGGAAGGGGACCTCCCCCTCAGTGTAACTCCTTCGGTACAAGCCTCTCCTCCATAGTGGGATGGGTGTCAAACCTGCACTGCTCATGTCTGAAACACAAATCACAAACAGGAGGTAGTCACAGTGTGTGTAACTACCACGTGTGTTTTGGATGATATTAGCAGACTGTCGTTGATGTGTAGGTGTTTTTGTTCCGGTACTCTGCACTGATCTGACACCTACTTGCCTGCCCACCTGCTCTCATCCCCGGCTCTCTGACGGCAGCGGTGTGGGCGGTACGGAGGTCCCCGGGGACCACCGGTCATAAAATTTACTCAAATTCACAATATGTAGGATATTACCAGTCTGTCTCCGGCTGTTTAAAAACAACAACACAAGTGGTCCTCTGGAGATGCATGTGGACACCAAAGTGTCTTTCTTTGATACCACCAAGTGGCAAAGTCAGACATGCTCCAATTCTACACATAGAGGAGCTTTAAAGCGGCATTGTTGTTGCTGCTGTTGTTGTTTGGCCACCTGGGGTCAATGAAGCAAGTAGAAAACATCTGACATATTATCACCTTATAAAGTTGTTAGTGGCATATTAACAAAAAATGGCCTCATATTTACAGAATCATCAGAGAACCAACACTGCATGTTGAGTCCAAGCCAGTGTCCTTAAAATTACATTTATATACTGCTGGGGGAGTTTGCATTACGTTTGTCGAAATAATTTTACCATTGGTTTACGATCAGTGGCAATTATTATCCAGTTCATCAGGCACGTATCTTATTGAACCCAACAGAGGCCTAAAGAGGTGGTCGGTGTGAATGGTGGGAGTACAAAGCACAGGAATTTGACACCAGAGACTGGAATTTGTGTCCTATGGCCAAGAGCGGTTAGGCTTAGGTCAGAGAAAAGATTGTGGTTTTGACTAAATATTAGACAAACACGCCATGTCTCATGTAACCACTTACTTTTTCTGCCATTTTTCCCTCCACATAACCAACTGTTATTAGTTGCCTAAACCTAACCATAAATAAGCTACTCATGCTTTTGTTGCCACGGGTGGACATTAAGTAAGTACAAAACACATCGTCGGTGAACAGCAGATGTGTTCAGTATGAACATTTTGCAAATTGTTGCTGACATGTTAATAAAAAAAACTCTTCTTGATAATAAATTTTAAAAAAAAACATAAGCCAGTAGCATTATTCTTAACATCTCTTAGGAAATGTATTTGCAAACATATCTTTTAGGAGACAGGGTTGTCTTGTCAAGTTAGCTGTCTTTGGTCTGCATTAACTGTTTGCTACTGAGCCGGTATTGTGCAGTGGCTTCTTTGCTGAGAACAGCTGCTGATGGAAACCAGACCGATGAGACCCTCATTTCCAAACACCGGTCCCAAAAAGGCTTGGACCGGTCAAGTCTATAAGTATTCTTACAATGCCTGTTTTACAGTCAAGGAGGCACGTACACACTGTAAATTGTCACTCTGACTTGTAACGTGTCAAAAAATATTGCAGTGGTTAAAGCACAACAAGAGTTTGTTTTTTGAGGGATTGAGTTCGTTTACATGTTGGGATCCTTTGCTTGCATGTTGAGAAGGGAGTGAAGACTGTTATGACAAATGGTGATGGAACTCAGTACAGGCCTGTTTTTGCCTCTGTTCATCCCACTCCCTTCTTCTTCCACGTCTGTATAAACACACCTCCCTTCATCACATGAGCTCACAGTACATATCATGCCCCTCTGCTAGACAAGAAAAGGGATAAATCCACAAACTAGGTCTACAGATATGTCTCGTGTTTCTGTGTGTAAGGCTGCATTCACACCAAATAATGACGTTACAGTGAAAGCGCCGGTCGAACAGATCAACATTTTTGAGAAACGCAACCCAACGTCCCGCTACGATGACCAACAACTTAACTGGCTACAAGAAGAGGAGCAGCATGATTAACCAAAACACAATGAAGTATAACGTTGGGTTTAATGTTTAGTCACTCAATTTGGCCCTGAGCACCAGTGCACAACCCACCGCTTTGATAAGTCTTGCATCCTGGTTAGTTATTGAAAGTGTTTATTTTAATCTGTCGATGAGGAGAGTCAGTCACTCACAGGAGCCAGAATACTAGCAGCATGATGTCACATCAAGTGTCACTCACAGACCAGCGCACAACCCTGCACTTATTGCTGCAACACCTGATTTGGTGTGAGTGCAGCCTAAGTACATGAAAGTTAGTCGATACACATTTTGAGTAACTCTTAGTGAACTTTTATATTGAGGGGCTGTGACTCACTGGTAGAGCAGGTTGTCCTTTAATCGAAACATCGACCGTTCGATCCCCAGCTCCTCCGGTCCGCATGTCGAACTGTCCTTGGCAAGATACTGAACCCCTCCTGAAGACTGTGCCACCGGTGTGTGTGTGAATGGGTGAATGTTGACATGTAGTGTACAGTACTTTGGGTGGTTGGCAGACTAGAAAGGTGCTATATATCTGTCCATTTACCATCGCCTTTTCCTCTTAGTCAGTGAATGCAACAACCCAAAATAAGCCATAACTTAACCCTATGCCTTACCCCAACTCCAGGAAGAACCCTCTGAAAGGGTTCCATATGGAACCTTTAGAAAAGGTTCTACCAGGAACCATAAAGTGGTATCCTATGGGAACAAGGCAATTAACCCTATATTGGTTCTACTTAACACCTCTATTTCTAAGAGTGTACAACATTTAACCTTGGCCCAGTCAGAGATATCCACTCCACTTACTGCACCTAATCTGGGCCCCCCTTCTCTCCTGACTTCTCAACCTCTTCTACAGATCCAGTTTCCTGCCTATGAGAGGAAGAACGAAGGCATTCCAGGGTCCACAGGACATCATATGTTCCTGCCATGAGCAGGATGCCGGGAATTACGCCCTTGTCCCACTCGTGTCATAATTTAATTTTCAACACGAGACCACCCAGCTGTCAGCCACAGTGACCTGCTCCGAAAACAATAATGATAGCATGAAACTTGAGCTCTGGCTAGAGCCTTTTAATAACATACCTACAGTAATAGATCCAATTGAGGAACATGTTAGACAAAAATAAACTTGAATACGCAGTTGTGCATGTGTGTTTGTTGACACATCCCACTAGGGCAGGTTATTAAGTGCTGATCCTACTAGTCATTAAATGCTAAAGGTTAAATAGGGGTGGTTTCAGTGACCTCCAGAGAAAACAACTAATTTATGTTTCAGAGAAACAGTCTGTCCACTAAAGAATGAAGCCCAATGCTTTCACTGTACTAGATGAAGTTGCATCTGACAAGTTACTTGTACTCACTCGTCCTGTTCTATCCAAACTGCCAATCTTGTATTCATCCCTGCAGCTCCTGCTGCCGCTTGTTGGTTCCATCATTTCTAACATTGAACCCATCAAAGCAATATCTTGGCAACGGCAGTAAAAGGTCTGACAAAAGCTCAAGCGGACAACATAGCCAGATTGTCTTACCCACCTTATCTGGAGGTAAAGCCGAAATGCGCACACTTGAAATCTGTCATTACACCATAGAATTGTCAGATGGTTTAACAGTGTTTGAAACCTCCTTTCCTTTCCCGGATTTAGGAGTTCTGCGCCAGACCATAAAAAGCGAAACTTCAGCTAGTTCAGAACTCTCCCAGCAGACTTTTAACAAAGACCAAGTCAAGAAAAAGAGAGTACATTACTCTTGTTGCTCTGAACTGGCTTCCCAGCAAATGGTAAATGGACTTGCATTTATATAGCAGGTGACCCATTCACACACACATTCGTACACTGATGGCAGAGGCTGCCATGCAAGGTACCACCTGCTCAGTAGGATCTTAACTAATGCACAATCAGACACACTCACAGCCTTCGGAGCAATTTGGGGTTCAGTATCTTGCCTATACACTTGCTGAGCTACAGCCACATTGCATAAAGCATCCTCTAACATTTCAGACTTCTTATCAACCAACATGAGCCTGAGGGTCCTGACACTGGTATTTTAACTGTTCATACAGTAGCCCACAAAATAAGTGGGGAACATGCTTTTAGCTGCTACCCTTCCTGACCCTCTGCCCAGCTACATTAGATATGCTGCTCTGTTGACATTTGTACAAATCAGCTGAAGATCTACTCATTCAGCCAGGCATTTAGGTAATGTAGTACGTTTTTATCTTATTTAATTATTAAGTACTATAAGTAAAAGATGAAGCAGGAAGTGGGATGAACATCAGTGGTATCCATTTACAGAATATCAGTGATATTGGTGACAAGAGGTGCCTGCAAAAAGCCCAAAGGATATTAGAAGACAATACCAACCCAGCCACAGCCTGTTCACCCAGCTGTCATCTTGCAAGAAATGGCAAAATAGGACTACAAACTGCATTTCATTGTGAAACCCTGTTGTACATTGACAATAAATGAACCTTGCACCTTGTCCATGGGACCTTTGTTGCATATCATACCCCTCTCTCTTTCCCCGTTTCCAGCAAGCCCCCAGGAACAGCATCAGTGGCCACACAGTGGAATTACAACTTCCAGTTCCATCACGTAATGCCATGGGGTCCAAAATACTTTTTTCAATAAACTTACATTGGGAACGAGAAGTCTGTAAATCAGTAGATACATATATATACTGTATATAGAATATATATATATCTATATATATATATATATAGATATATATATATATATATATATATTAGTGCTGGGCAAGTTAACGCGTTAATTTCGCGTTAACGCATTTTTTTAATTTATTATAATTTTTTTTAATTATTTTTTTTTTAATTGAAAGACAAGAGACAATACATAGACATAACAACAAGAGGATGACAAGAACAGTGGGATAAAAGCCAGCAAACATCCTATAGTCAGTTGTGTATGTATGTGTGTGTGTGTGTGTGTGTGTGTGTGTGTGTGTGTGTGTGTGAGTGTGTGCGTGTGTGTGTGTGTGAACGTGTGTGTGTATGTCCTTGAGCCTTTTTTAAGATGGGAAAAAAAATGATCTCCGTGGTCAACTCAACAGACACTTACATGTTAGTGCACCTATATGCTGAAATTCACGGTAAACACATTTAAACGGCACAGATCGGGAGCGAGCGAAGGACTTTGAAAGTTAGTGGAAAGATTAACGTGAGACACCATCCGGTTTCTTCAGACGAACATCCGGTTTTCAGAATAAGATGCCAACAAAGTATGAATTATATTCACATTAAGTATAAAACATGCTACCTGCATCTCGTGAACCAAATGTTATTGCCCTTTCGTTCATATAGCAGTACTTTTAAAATAAAAGTGCACAATACACTACTTTTGAATTCATTAGTGAACTTTGCCAGAACAATGTGATTAATCGCAAAAAATCCATGTGATTAATCGCGATTAAATATTTCAATTGTTGCCCAGCACTAATATATATATATATATATATATATATATATACACAGTATATATGTATATACCCATTGGACCGTGGGCTGGGAAGTGGGGTTAAAGAAAACACCAGTGCCCTTGCTCTGTATGGGCCCATGGATGTAGGGGATCAAGGTCATTTTATCTGTATTCTATACTTAGAAGTCAAAACTTTTTTTTGCTCCATGTGTTACTGAGCCATTTTCATGGGAATGAACAGGGTGCCACCTCCAACAATCCAGAGAAGTGCTCTCCGTGTTTGAACACTAGTTTGTTCAACGGCACCTTGACAGGACACTGCCATTTGATAGTTGTTTAATGTAGTATAATTTCAGTAGAATTTCCTTCCCTTTTCCAGCAAATGAAGTAAAATATGCCATAACATTACCTCCTCTGGTTGGTATGAGTGGAAGCCGGGTGATCTCATGGATGGTGGATAGGTCAGAAAGAGTTCCACTGGGTGATACAAACTCACTTCTGGACTGTCTCTTCTGAATGTCCTGGAAAGCCAGGCTGGCTGCACCACAGCTGCAGTGATGCAGGAAAAAGTCCTGTTCAGAAAAATTGGTAGGAAGAAGACACAAACATGTATCTATGATGTGATTTTACTGTTTTTTTTAATAGAAAATCACCTTAAACTAGATTGTATATATGTCACAAAAGTTGTCATGTTAAAACTCTCATACATTATTTTCCATCAGGGGTTTGCAGAAATGTTCAATGTAATCCTGATGAGTAATTTTACACTCTGTCTGAACTTAATTGAAAAGTTGGCAACCTTGGACACAACGTACCCTTGAAAATGATCAAGATGCATTACAATGTGTTTACAGTGTTTTCATTAAGTGACTGAGGTATGTAGTGAAACTGTTTCTTGATCATCATGAAGAAATGCAATAAAAACCTTTAATCATTATTAAGCCTCCGAGATGGTTTGAAAATTCATCTTTGAAATTCAATTGGAACATCTCATTAAGACTCCCAAACCAACGCGTACACAGACAGCTGCAGACACCACAGATACGTAGTCCACTTGGAGGACCCTTTAAACACATTCGCAGTACATTGTTACGCTACCACTCTGTTGTACACCCTATCATACACACCCTATCTTTATGGTAAGCACTCACAATCACATCTTTGGGGACTTACAGGGGACAGTGAGCCAATGACCCTGATCCCTTCTGCAAAGGATAAGGCTGTCGGAGATATTAAACAGTTATTCAAGGAGAATAAAACCACCATAGAATGAATGCCCTCTCCATTGCTTCCATTAATGATATGTCAAATCTGGGCTATGAGATGCTTTCTGACAATACTAACTTGCCTGTGTGGTCTCTTTGCTACACTGCAGGTGAGGGGTGGGTGTACTGTAGGAGGTAACTGCATTTGGTTTTTCTGCTGCCAGTCTTCATGTAACCAGCTGTGCTTGTGGTGCTGATGTGAACAGCGGACCAGAGCTGTCATACGTCATGAAGTGTCTATTCAGACAGTGTTCTAGCTAGGACTTTGCCGTTGAGAATGTCACAGCTGGAGTCAATATTTAGACATTTTCAGTCTTGAGGTGGATATAGTATTATAGTATATTAGTTAAAAATGTCAAGGTATGATCATTTATAAACTCTAAAATGGTGGTTGTATGAATTAAATATGTGACAAAGAGCCTTTCTTCTCACTCTCTCTTAGTCACTCTCTTTACTTGGGTTCTCTAAAAGCTTTGAAGTCCTTGACTCCTGCTGGCTTCAGCCATTGCCCCAGTGAAAAGCTGTTCTGGCTACTGCGCCCAAAACTGACTGCACTAGTGTCAGTCCAGGATTTCTGAATACAAGCCAGAGTGCTTATAGTTAGGGCTGGCTTAGACTTGCCTTGGAGACTGCTGGGGGACTTCCTAGGAGCTCCTCTCTCCTCCTCTCCCTCTGTATATATTCATATTCCATTAATGCACATTATTAACTTTGCTTCTTCCCCAGAGTCTTTGTGCTTTTCCATGGATCATGGTTTACCTGGACCGAGGTTGTGCCTCCTGTCGTGGTCCTGCCTGACACCTGCTGCTACTATTATTATTATTAGTCATATTTGTATTAGCTGCTCTTATTACTGCTCTCCCTAAGGTTTCTTCCTTTCCCCCCCTCCCCATGTTAGAGTTTTTTGGGGGGGTGAGTTTTTCCTTCAATGACGCTGATTGTAAAGCCCTCTGAGGCAAATTTGTGATTTGTGATAGCTACGTATATAAATACAAATTGAATTGAACAGAGGGTTAAGATGAACAGCCTTTCATCTTGCCCGCTGACCCTCAGCACAGGCGCCCCCCAGTAACCTCCTGACAAAATTCTGTAGTATGGCTTGAGCTCCACAAAGGCTAAATCCTACATTTCCCATAATGCAAGCAACGCATCTTTTTCTAGACCTTCCCTGTTTTTCTAATACATCTTTGTCTTTTAAACTCCACATCCCCGAAATAAGAATAAGACACACACCTCTCTGGTCTTTGTCATTCTGCCGTCCTTCTGCAGGCTGCAGATCTGTCTTTGCAGCTGGAGGTTGGTCTCCTGCAGCTGGCCAATCTTCTCGATGAGTTGGCAGATGTGATCGAGGTAACCCAGGCCTGAACCCAGAGGGTTGGAACTTGCCTGCTGTGTCTGGACAAACAGAGGGTGTGCAGGTTAATCAAGATACCAGGAGTAAGATAGAAGAAAGCCATTGTATTATTCTTGTTGGGATGTAGAAGCCTCTGAGATTATGAATCCATAATTATGAATTAAATTCCAAAGGGCTAGCAGCTCTGTGGAGCAGGAAGACCTGTAATGCACCATTTTGAACAAGATGGCACTGAACATGGCCCTATATTTGCTGCAAAAGTGAATGAACAAAACTTCTCTATGGATACTTTTCAATTCAATTCGTACCGGGTCTGCCTCTCGGTCCCGTACTTTGTACATGGATTTTGCAGATTAGAATGTTGATGATTTGACATGAGTATGGATATTTCTTTGGTTCTTCCAACCTGGTTTGAAATTCATCTGGACATGCTCAGATGTCCATGGCAGAAATGAAGGTGTTGCAACACACATTTGATAGCTCCGCAGAGAAGAATTTCACATACTGCTACTAAGAGGAAATTAATGACTTGCTACATCACCAAGAACACAGATAAGGATGTTGTTTATGTGTCTGCTCAACCAGGAGCTACAGCTTTTCAGCGATATAAAAAAAGGAATTTTTGAGCAAATATCTATCCAATGATCAATATTCCGAAAAGTGTCTCAACAAAAGCAGGATGTGAGCTCGGGTCGAGTCTTTACCCCCTCTATTCCGTGCTGCTGACACTGAAACTCCAGTCGGGTACTTGGGAACTGTCCTGATGGAAACACTAGCCAAACAATGGGCCAGCAGCCATAACAGGCTGGAGGACTGACATCACTCATTTCCTCTAATGGACAAACCCCGTGTGGATCACACAGGATCATGACCATGAACCCGTTCCCATGCAACACTGAGCTTTCTTTCACACTTTCATTGTCATAGTACAAAATAGGAGATTCATCACATTTGGGACAAATATGTTCTGCTAATTTATAGCTTAAAAATGTCTTGAAATTTTGAGTTGAAATCAATATTTAACCCTTTGAACCCGATTACTGCATTTGGTGTCCAAAACTGAGAGCAGAGTGAACCACAGTAACAGAGTTGTGGGTCATAAAAGCCAATGTGCTAAAAGATGCTAAAACGCTCTGTAGAGCTGAGGAGGATTGCTGAGGTGGTTCATTTCTCCTTGTGAACCCTTCACATTACACACACTAATTTGACCCATTACGTATGTTTTTGGCGCTTTGAGCACCACCAGTCGAGTGGCATCTAGTTCCATTAAATTGGAGACAAAACAGACATCTCTAGGGGCAATATTTTCAAAACCAGGCTACTACATAAGAGGAAAAATATTCCTATTTGGTTTTGGGGAGTACTGTCCCTTTTAATGTAATATTCATCAGTTGTTTTTCCTGTTTTGTTGACTCCACAGAGCCTCTTTAGCTACCAGACCTCTAGTGGTTTTTAGGTGGCTAATTAAGATAAGGAAGGGTATTCCTTCCCGGAGATGACACTCACTTCCTCAGGGGTAGATGATGATGAGGGGGAGGTTCTGTAACTAGAATCTGTTCCTGCTGAGACAGGCACGTTATCAGGGCTGGGGCAGATCTTATCCACGGCCCCACAGAGACCACTGAGTGATCCCAAGCCGGGAAAAGGGACTACGATTTTGGAATCCCACTTTTGTGTGCATAACCTCATTTTAAAATGCAAACAAACACGCACACACCCTGCTGCACTTCCTCTGAGTTTCCGCAATAAAGGGCCAATAATGCCTCCCATATGGGAATGACTGAGGTCACTCGGATGGGAAAAGCTACATGTCTGACACAAGAAATGAAGCAAGTTTGATGATGCTAGAGTAATGTTTTCTAAGGTGAACATTAGTGGCTGAGTCGGATGAGGAATCCTTTTTGTCCCGCTAGTTTTAGTTGGAAGATAAATGAAGCCTTGTGAGTGGAAGAAAGCCAGGAGAAATATCTATCTATTTTGTGTTTTCATCTGAGGGTCATTCATATGCTGCAGCAAAGGGATATCTGAAGCCTAAACATCAAGATCTTAATACTGGAAAAGTATTGCTCGATAAGAAACTGGAAGTATATGACTAAAAGTGACAGTACTGGTCACTGAAAATAAATAAACTGAGAATGGACAGGGAGGGAGAATAACTCCCGTCACCCTGTGGAAGATCTACATTATTTAATAGGTTAGTTGACCAATGACAATGTCTCTACATCCTTACAGGATTTCACGAAATTCCAGAAAATGAGTGAGAGTCAACAGCCATGCTTGCAGTCCTGGGAAGCAAGTCATGGCTACAGCAAGCTAAACAAGGTAGACATCATTTCCCCTGGCCATGTACTCCTGCTGGGATATGCCAGGGAAATCCCAGTCCAGGTGGGCTACGTAATCTATCCAGTAAATTCTAGGCCAACTCATCTCTTCTCAGTTGGGAATGGTTGGAAATACTTTCACAGAGAGTCCTGGGGGCTCCTTTTGACTCAAAGGAGCAGCGGTCTCAAGTCTTCAAGCACCATCCAGTCTCATCCATGTCTGAATTTTATCTCATAAGTGAGTGTTGGAGTGTACATCAAACATTTAACGTTTAATAATTAGCACAAACACAAACTACAGCTTATTTATTTTGTCATTTGATCATAATGGATTCTACTGGACTGAATGAAATTTTGACCTGCTGCTGCACTAGATACAAATGCTCGGGTTCACTAAAATCAACAGGATTTATCCTCTGGGAACCTTGCATGGTAGCTGCATTCTTGCAATGTCACGAGATCACGGAAAAATCCATCTTGTCGGACTTCAAGTGACCAGTTTGTGTCCAGTAAGCCAGAGCCCAGACCAATCAGCATCCGGTTTAGGGGCGTGGCTTATGTGTGTGTGTGACACAACACAGCCAGGCTGTTTGTTCTAAACAATGGAGCTTCCTGAAGACGTTAGCGATGCTGCAATAGCATCCGTTCTATCAGTATTTCTTCATTGAAAGAAGAGAAAAGAACGACACTGAAGGATTTTGTAGATGGAAAATATGTATTTATTTCTCTTCTCCTGACTCGCTGGTTCATCCAAACACCTGCTAAGTATTTTTGAAGGTGCTTCTAATGACAGTTAATGCATTTGTTAAGATTTTTCAGTCTTAATCGTTTTTGTTTTTTTAGAATTTCAAAATAAGAGCATGAGACAATAACATCTAAGGTCACTGTGTAAACTGAGGCCTTCTCTAACCCTCGCTTTCACTCACTATCGGCCTCCGTGATGCTTTCCTAAACATGACAGTGTTAGAAAGGAATGAAGCACCAGATGTGTGGAGCATCGAGATAGGGAGGAAGGTACGAGCCGAGCACGTACGCTGCTTCTCCCAGCCAGACCCCCGTCTTTCAACACGCAGATAGTGTTCCTGCCTCACCTCCCTGCTGTACATCTTTCAAAGCAGTCGGGCAGCAACTGAGGACACTGTGCTGTCCTTCTGTCCAGTGTTAGTTTTGGCACCTGACTGTGATTTGGTTTTGGTCCTTTGATGAAAAAGTATACTATGTTTCATCCCATTTATGTGATTTCTTTATTGTTTGGTTAGTATAGTACTCAACATAAAATCAGGTTTTTCGGTCGAATCTTCACTTTTTGAATTGTCATGTCCTCTACGCATTCTGAGTGCACAGCTGTTGCCGTCCTTGATGTGCACAGTTACCGTAGCTTCACTCATTGTTCTCGTCCAGTAAGTGGAAAAGGTAGTTTACCTGTATGAATGTGTAGTTGTTATCGGTACAGGGTCGCACGACTGCAGTTTTTGCGTCTATTAAATGCAGTTTTGGATTATTAACATAAAGTACATTATGGGAATATTTGAGGGGACTACATAGCGCATACATTTCAATCTGACAATTTGGACATTGAAAAAAAGAGTAGTGTTTACGATTCAAACGGGGATTAATTGGCAGAAATGGTATATAATATGCATAACAATTGCATAATAAAGGGGTCACATGAGAAACAGGGACTGTTGTGGAGGGCTGGACCAATAGGCTGAACAATAGGCTCAATTCAACTAAATTTTATTCCACCTCTTCATAAAAAGCAGTACATTGTATGGTTTTGATGAGCTGTGAGTGGTAAGAGTAAATATTTAGATCAGTGGTGGAATATAACTAAGTGTATTTGCTTAAGTACTGTACTTAAGTACAAATTCAAGGTACTTTACTTGAGTATTTCCATTTTATTCAACTTTGTACTTCCACTCCACTACATCTCAGAGCGAAATATTGTACTTTTAACTCTACATTTGTCTGGCGGCTTTAGTTACTAGTTACTTTGCACATTACAATTTTCAAACTCATCCAAACTACCCAAACTGAACAACAGTGTATAAAGAGTTCAAATGAGCTCCACCTGAAACATCTACATGTTTGTTCACATATGTAGGTCGATCCAAAGAGAACCAACATCTTCTGCACATGTTGCTTTAGCAGCTTAGCTAGCAAAGCCTCAGATGTCCGTGCCGCTCAGTCAAGTTTTTGTATTTCTCCGTGTGCTTCATCTCGTAATGGAGATTCAAATTGTAATCCTTAAACACTACGATCTGTTCTCCACAAACTAAGCACACGGCTTTACCTTTGACTTCAGTAAAGAAACACTAAGAAGTCCATGTTTTGTTAAAAACTCTACACTCTGTATCAATCTCTTTTTTTAACACAGGCTGACATTTTTCAGGGCTAACAGCTAACTTACATCTCCTGTAAGTTCAGTTTGCCAACACATTGCAGTGCTGCAGCTGCTCGCACACATTCACGAATGTACTAACGTACGTAAATTGTGAAAAAAACGGCAACAGTCGCCTTCAAAATAAAAGCAATGCAGCTGTATATTGTGCATGATGTACACTTATTTACGTTTGATTCCTAATTTCCCATTTACGTCCCGCCGGACAATGTCCATGTCTGCTCTATAATGACCTGAAAATAAAAATGGGGCGACTGTGGCTCACTGGGTTAAGAGGGTTGTCCGGCAATCGCAAGGTCGACAGTTCGATCCTTGGGAT